ATACTATATATACATCTTATATATAGTATATAATATGTATATATAGCTTATCGAATATAGCTTTTATATATATATATATTATACTATATATACATCTTATATATAGTATATAAGATGTATATATATCTTATCGAATATAGCTTTTATATATATATATATACTATATATACATCTTATACTATACTATATATACATCTTATACTATACTATATATACATCTTATACTATACTATATATACATCTTATACTATACTATATATACATCTTATACTATACTATATATACATCTTATACTATACTATATATACATCTTATATACTATATATATTCGATATTAAATATTGAATATTAAAATTTAGGATGTTAAATAAAATTTAGGTCACAATTCTATAATAAAATTTATAAAGAATTGCCTTAGATATTTTTTTTAACATCCTTTTGTCTCTAATGTATATTTAATTTTTTTAAAAAAAATATATATATGTTGGGCCCACTTAGCCCGTTTAGCCCGCGGGCCGGGACCGTTTAGCTCGGGACCAAATGGTCCCGGTCCCGGGCCGGTCCTTACAAAAAGCCCGTTTAGCCCGTTTAATTTGGGATCGGTCCGGGACCGTTTTGACCGACCCACTTGGCCCGTTTAGGCCCGGGACCGGCCCACTTACCAGCCCTAGGTAAAATTGATAAATGACAGTTGTATGCTCGACGAGTTGATACATGGAAGTAAAGGCAAGTAAGGTATAAGTCAGCAAATAGTTGGCACCTGATACAAATATGTGACCGGGTGCTGAATAAGTTCCGAAGGCATTGAAACTGAGAATGAAGATTTGAAAAGAAGACGTCGATTGAAAAAGACAGAATTCAACTTCGATCATGTATATCGAAAATTATTTTCGAAATAGAAATAGTTAAGCTTATAAATTTCGGCTATGCCTTAAATGGGGGTCCATAAATCGGCTATTTGTGCACTTGCCCCAAACTGAAGTGAATTTGGACCATTAATATGAAAACCAAAATCGTTGCTACCTCCTCATCCTCCGCCCTCCTCCTTTCTCGTATTTTTATCTTCTTTTTTTCCATTTACTTTGGCTCTTCTTTATTTTGCTAACATATCGTTTTGTTGGTTTAGTTTGCCAAGTCAAAAGAAAGTTACATTTACGAATAGTTGGTTTTATTTAGGACCGTTAAATTTGTGTTTAATAGTCATATTTTTAATTAGATATTCAATATGTAGACTTAAAGTTGAACTAAAGTTGAATTGTCGAAATGAAAATTTGTGCCATGTTCAAGAAGCCATTGCCTATGTATTCAGCAACCAAAATATTTAAACAAAAAAAGAAGAAAAGATTTTACACATTCGTTTCCTAGAGGTATTTGCCACTTGCCACATATCTGGAACGCCGAACAAAATTAAGCTTGAACACAAAAAGATACTTTCCCCTTGTATATAAACATTTTTGCATATATATCCAACATCAAAATCTCTTCTTTTTTTCAATCAACATCAAAATTCTCAACCCTTAAAATCTTATACCCAAAAGAAAGATTTTAGTTTCTTTGCCATCCCCTTTTAACCCACCATAATATAGACGAAGGAAATAAAACAAAGAAAAAAAGAGGAAGAAAGAAAGAACATGGTGTCCAACAACCAAGATGGTTGTTCACAAAGGTAACAAAACTTAGATTCTTCTCTGTATGTTGCCTCTCTCATATATATAATGAATATACTTTGGGCGTTGCCAAAGAAGTGCAACACCCAAGTAGGCAACATCTCCTTAAATTGGCAACCAAAAGGGAAATTTAACAATATTTGCAAGCACTCCTATCCCAGGTATTGCTTGTGTATCCTCGCACGATTTTCTTCCCACCATAACCTGGCATGCACTTCTCCAAATTTTTCTCGGCTGCGTTGACGTGCATAAGCTTATATCAGCCTCAATCAGAAAAATCATACATAAAGAATAAATGAAGAGAGGAAAATATATCTGCAGTAGCTTTGGGACCATGTCCTTGAGAAAATATATACAGGAAAATATGTAGTGTGGTCACACGTTCTCATTGCATATAAGTGCGTTCTCTCTTTATATTGTTTTTCTTCTTACTATAATGAGAGTCTTGGAGCAACGGTAAAATTGTCCATGTATGACTTAAAGGTCACGGGTCGAGCTGTGAAAGCCGCCACTAATGCTTACATTAGGATATGTTGTGTACATCACACCTTGGGGATGCGGCTCTTCCCCGACCCTGCGTGAACGCGGGATACTTTGTACACTGGGTTTGCCTCTCTTTTTTTTGCTTACTAACAAAAAATATAACAATGTGTAAGAAACTAAACATGTATGTGAAATACATATACACAAATTAACACTTCGTCAAGCATGCTATGATGACAACTTTAGTGAGAATGCTCTTCTAGTACTTATTATTAAAATGGACAGTAGTAGTGCAACTGCAATGAGAACATTTTGAGGCAATAATTTTGACAGTTTATGTAGAGGTCCACCTGCATAAGTAGGCCTGCCGAGTAGGCCCCGTCGCCTCTCACATCATACTTAGGTCATTTAAGAAGATGAAATATTTGTGCTATTGCAAGCAAATATGCCTGTTTTAGTTCACTAACCATCAGTATGAAGTGGTGAGATGAAGCTAACCTGAATCTGACTCGTTTGAGTTCTCTTCTGCCATTTGGTAGCGCTTGTATAGTGATGTAGACTCCAGGCTCATCTTGCTCAACCCATTCAGTTTCAAGATCACTGGCATTGCTGATAGATAGCTCTCCAGAGCGATCCACATCTCTTGATGTGCTAGTCCTAATAGAGGCATCCATAGATGATATCTCTGTCTTTGCTCCACTGATGCTTGAGAGTTTCGGAGTTGAGGCGACACCACAAGAGTCATAATTATAGCGAGAATGCGTCGAATGTTGTTCAAGAGAATCTGAAGATGAATACATTGGACGGTACAAAGTATGGGGCAGTCGTTCTTTAGTGAGCGGGGGTGTCACAGGACTGTCTTCGATGGATTCAATTTTTGAACTCTATGAAAGAATAGAAAATTGATATTCATGATAAACGGAAAAGAGTAATAAAAACGAAACAAATATTTAGCACATATAAACAACATAAAATAGGAATTATGTGTACCCCGTCTTCAGATCTTGGAGGTGTTGGCAGGGGGAAAGCTTGGCGATTCAACCTCTGGACATTATAAAGCTCCATTACCTTCTCACAATTCTCTGCCCACCACCTCTGAGCTTGGTATTTATTAAACATTTCTCGACTGTTGTAACAGAATAAACACGACATAGAAATTTGGATGCATTTATCGAGAAAATAATTTGGAACGTGCAATTAATTTGTCTTAATAACCCATATATAACCTCTTTTCCTATTATTTTCATTGAACATTTGAACTACATTATTATGAAGTGAACATATATGAGGTAGTTCCTTGTTATTACATCATTCTTACCGATAGTATTGGCACTATTGTTGTATTTTCGTATTCCTATATCTTTGTAATTACATACTGTCTCATTTGCTTCCGCTGTCCTATTACCTTGTTGATGTTATTGTTTGTTTATTGCTTCCTTAACTGCTCCTGTACCGAGGGTCTACCGGAAACAAACTCTCTACCTTCATAAGGTAGGGGTAAGATTTGCATACACACTACCCTTCCCAGACCCCATTTGAATTTCAGTGGGTTTCTTGTGGTCTTTGTTATATATGAGGTAGCTTGGCCTTTCATTTAACATGAAATTAAGTCATTGATTGCTATTTGGTTTATGCAATGCATCTCCAGAGCATCTGCTATGTTACCAGCTTAAGGTTTTAGGTATAATTTTTCTATTTTAGGTAAAAGTATGGTCATAGTAAGAAGGTAGAAATGGAGAAGTGGGAACAAAAGAAAGTAAACGAGATCAGCAATAGTTTTGGTGGTCAAAACCTAAACATATCATAGCAAGTAATTTAATTAGTAGATTATGTTATGGAGTAAGCGTCCTCTTTCATGGCCTACCACTCATACAAGCTTTTAGACAAAAAGGATTCCCTTGCATAATTTAAGGGGACCAATAACTCAAAAACTGGCTTTAATGCATGGATAAAATTAAATGCATTACCTTTGACTTTGCTTAGAGGACATCCTATCCTTCACCAACCTAGAAAATGATTAAATCTATTTCACGGGGATGGATAGTGACTCACAGGCCATTGAACAGATTATGAAGAAATACTGTTCAACAATGATTAATTGCAATCGTATTTTACATATATATTATTTATGATAATTAGGAAGGTTGATGACTCTTGTCACAAATCTTGTGATCCGCGGATTGCACTAACGTACATAGGCGTATTTAGTATTTGAACTTGATCTAATCAGCCTTTGAAGTCTAACATTGAACTTAGGGTGTTTGATACGAAGGAACATATTTTCTTGAAAAATTAATGGTTTTATTACTTATTTTCTCACATTTGGTCGGTGAATAGAAAATTTTTTCCAGAGATTATTTTTTATTGTTTGATTAGTGAGAAAAAAATATTTTTTTGAAAATTATATAATTTAGGCAAATACTATGGGTAGGGGTTGGGGTTGGGGGTGTGTAATAAGGTAAGGAAAGTTAAAAAAGAGTTTTAAAAAATGTTCTCCTTCTTATTAATAAAAAATATATTTTCTTGAAAAAAAATAAGTTCAAGAAAAAAATATTTTATTCATACCAGACACACTTATAGTACTTTTAGAATTGTGAATTCAGAATTTAATATTTGTAAAGATTTTAGTAACATGCATATTCATATCTCGTATGAAAACTAATGGGTTTGGTCTAATACGAAGCTAATAAGCTACATTTGCCACTACAAAGGTGAGGCCTACATTATTCAATGCCACCCCAAAAGTCTTGGCTCCCACTTTCTAGCATTACAACCTTAACATAGACTCAGTTGCTAGTTATTTTCCACGCCCAAAATGGCTGTCACTATTGACATTGTGATCTAGATCAGAACGAGAAAGTGATAGCTCAACAGTCTTGTTCCTCCATTAGAAGCCAAATTTCAGAATCACTCCAATTTTGGAGTGACAGAGTAAGTGTGAATGCTAATTGTTCTAGGCTATTGACAGACAAAACTTTGGCACTCAAATACTTACCAGAAGACAAAATCGAAGAACTTCGCATGATCAAGTTTGAAAATGAAAGGGAGTGGCAACTCCCGACAAAAGGACAACATTAGTAAAAGGTTTTTGCCAACATAATCAAAACAGGCCCACCAAAGGGCTGATTGATTTTATTTTTTTTTCCTTTTTAGACTTTAAAAGGAATCTTATTTTCTTTTGTCCTGTTTTTTCATGATCATGGGCATAATTACCATTAGCAGCTGCTAATTTCTCCGTATGAACAGAGGTTAAAAAAGGTGATATTTGGGTGGAGATTCAAAATTTACTTTTAGCACGCTTTCTTTTGGTAATAATCACACGTAAAACTTTTTGCATGGACTGTCTGAAACACAAATCAATTGCTTTTTGATGTCACCTTGACCATAAACTGTTGCCATTATTGACAATACTCGCATTCATTTATTAGCCACATACTGAAGTGGGAAAGAACCGTTAATTAGCGCCACTGTGACGACCCACTATTGGATGATATAATCATGGTGATTCTCAATTCGTTCTCCACTTAATTTTAGAATTAAATATTATGATAAAGATAGTTAGGTGAAATAAATAATACTCTCATTAAGTGGGCATTTGGACATAAGAATTGTTAAATTTCTGAAAAAAAGTGAAGGAAAAAAAAAGTGAAAATGGTATTTTTGAAAATTAGAGGTGTGTTTGGACATGAATATAATTTTGGGTTGTTTTTAAATTTTTCTGAGTGATTTGAAGTGAAAAATTTTGAAAAATAATTTTTTTGAAGTTTTTTAAATTTTCGAAAAATTCTGAAATTCATCTTCAAGTAAAAATTGAGAGGGTAGTGTATAATTAGACTCCACGGTGTGGGATATCACTGGGTATGTTATTGTTGTTGTCATTTTCAAGTAAAAATTGAAGATTTTATAGCCAAATACTAATTTTAAAAAAAAAAAGTAATAAAAAAATTATGGCCAAACGGCCGCTAAGTATTCCAAACAACAACCGTCGAATCACACAAGTAAAGATATGAGATGGTAATGTATACTTAGACCTGAAAAGATAAAAAGATTTTTTATCTTTGAAACTCACCACCGGGAAGGGAAAAGAAACAAAAGGGTTCGTCTCAAAAAAAAAAAAACTAAAAGGCAAATTTAGAAGTACTTCCCTAATGTGAATAAATTCCACCAAACAGTCCATCTAGATTCTAGCCTATAAGATATAGACGGCAATAAAGTTGTTGGTCCATTAAAAGAAAAAAATAAACAATGGTCCAACAAAAATAAATCGAATTAAGTACCAAGTAATGGTTCACCACTCATGAATAAATACAACAAATATAATAATAACAAAAATAAAACAATTAAGACAAATTTTCTTATAATTACTATTACTATAGTAGAGTAAAAAAAAGAATTCCGAAAAGATTACCTGAATCGAATCCGCTTGAGATCATTGCCGCCACGTGGTAACGAAACGAAAGTGATGAGCACACCCGGTTCAACTTGCGCCACCCACTCTTTCGGCTCGCTTTCTTCAACGAACACGACCGGTTCAACTCGCCGGCCACTCGCCGACGCCGACACCGGCGTAACTTCTCCGCTCGATATTCCCTTCAGCCTCGCCTCCAGCTCCTTTCTCCCGGCCGTCGAGCTCGAACTCGAACTCCCTGTTCTCTTGTAAGACCACCGGAATTTATCCAACGACGCCGAGTCCGACGACTCGTTTTGGCTTCCGTTCTTCCGCAGAGTCGTCGGCTGAGTTGTACATGGACTACACTGCTTATATGCTCCTGATGCTTTCAATGCCATGTCCTTAATCTACACCACAAATTGACAAATAAATTCTAGTCCAATTTTCGAATATGTATACACAAATGTAGAATACTCCTATATATTTACTTCACTGAAATTCCTATACAAACAATCGGCGATACAAGGTGAGCTAAATATAGGTACGAGTATTCAATTGAATTCGCTTCATCGATAAATAAGACTCTGCAAATACATTTTAGTAATTTTTTGAATCTTCTCGTATAAGTTTTTGGCTCCGCTATTAATCATAAAATGGTGAATAGATGAGAAATGTACCTGAGAAGTGAGTGTTTTAACGGCTTGTTTATTGGCCGGAGCTGAATTTGAATTGAATTTCTCAGGTTGATGATCACGCGAATCATCGCTCGGTTGTTTCGAACGAGCTATGCACGTAAGCATTTTCTCAATCTCTCGCTATATATATATATATAATCAAATTCTTCCACTTTGAGATTGAAAAGCAACTACAAATTCGAAAACAAAGGAATTAACAAATGCAATACGAAAATATGAATATTTGAATGAATTGAAGAAATTGGATTAAGACAAAGGTAAAAGAGAAGGTGGAGACTGAACTCTGAAGAAGTATTGAATAAGAGGAAGTGGGGTAATAAGGAAAAAGAAGCAGAGGGGGTAAGGCGCACTTTTAATGCCTTCCCTTAAATTGCGCCATCACAGAGATTCCTGTAGTTCATTAATTAAAGACAGCCTCAAACTACAGTCAACAAAATCATTTATTCAAAAAAAAGAAGAGAAAAAAAAAGAAAGAAAATTTTGAGTACAAATACTACACACGGATATTACAGAAGTTTTCAGAAATTAAGGGAAGAGAAAGAATGGCTACTTTGGTGAGGAAGCTAAGGAGCTTGAAATTAAGGGAAGAGAAACAATGGCTACTTTGGCTATATTTGCTTTTACTTTCTCTTTTTCTACTTCTTTTTCTTTTTCTCTTTCATTTTCTTGGGTTCCTTTATTAGGCAAATATTATATCATCATTTTGAGTTCAAAAAAGATTGTAGAACCTAGGGATCGGTGTTATCATCTGCCGGGCGAAAGTAGAAAAATACTTTCAAAGCTAAGAGATAAAAGATAAAAAGGAAAAGGCAAAATATTTATAAAAAAGGAACAAAAATATAGCCCATTATGATTTTCAAACTTACACATTAGTACATTACCTTCTTGTTGTGCAAAGATAAATTAGAACCCCTCTAGTGGTTTGTACTGTGAGTTGTGACATGTATTCATTTTCCATCCAAGAAGATCATGTAATACTTCCTAATTTTGTTTCCTTCTTCTATATATAAGACCATATTTTCTAATTGACATATATATATAAATAATACAATCGGTAGTAAGACTCTATTCACGGGCATTTTCCAACAATTCATTTGATAATCTTTTCCTGAAGGTCTTAAGAAAATATGTTTAATTGTCAAGCAACATATGAGATCAAAGTAATTCGAGCTTTGTAATATCCGGCTGCTCATACTAGAAAAAACTTACTTTTTTTGTCAACTTAAAAGGTTTTAATTTACATGCGAATTGAGAGAAGGTAGATTTAGATTTAGGGGATATTTTAGATTACTTTACTAACAAGGAGGGGTAGATTTAGACCGAACGTATAAGGAGGGTAAATATTGACTATTTGCAATGTACAAGGATAATTGGTATTAAAATTCGTAGTTAAAATCGAGTTCAAAAAATTCTTATGCGACACATGTATATCTCACACACACGTGTACATTGATATACATCTGATACACATTTGATATAAATATGATACATATGTGATATATAAATAATACACAATGTGATACACATATCATCTTATTCCATGTTCATCTTTTTCTTTAAATTTTCAATCCAAACCAACTCAAAACTCTACCCAATCATCCCAAAATAGAGATTTAAACTCCTTATGTATCTAATCTATTCCAACAACACTCACTCAAAAAAAAGCAAAAATTTTGAATTTTTTTTTTGCTACAAATAGCTAATTGACTAATATTAATAATATTTTGTGAATTGACTAATTTTTGCACTATCTTACTTATGAACTGAACTGACAAAATTGGTAATTTTCCTTGAAATTTGGAATTGGATGAGTATCTAATGGTGGGCTTTCTACTACCAGATATGGGCCAAGCCTGAGGGACTCGAATACATTGAGCCACGCGATCTTCATCATTGATATTATCCTAGAAATGGCGTTGGGCTTTTTAATATGGTATTTAATTTTTATCCAGTATTTTTAATGCTGAGCAAAAATAGCCATTACTCTATTAAAATGAATACGAAAAGAATTTTTTACCCGTTCTTCATGATTGTTGTATAAATATTAAGGACATGGTGTCCTTATCATTTACACTGCACACGTGAAGTTAAGGACGCCATATCATTAACATTTACACGGCACATATGAAGTTAAGGACATGATGTCCTAAAGTTTAACAACGGAAGGTATAAATACAGGACATTTTGTCCTTAATATTTATACAACATTCATGAAATTAAGGACACCATATCCTTAATATTTACACAACACTCATAAAGTTAAAGACACTATGTTCTTAACATTTACACTGCACATATGAAGTTAAGGACACGAGATCCTAAAGTTTAATAACAGAAGCTGCAAATACAAGTTAAGAAAAATATGGGTGTGTTTGGTATAATGAAAAATATTTTTCTTTAGAAAACAAGTAGTAATCTTATTCATTTTTCGGTGTTTGATACGCAAATTAAGGAAAATAACTTCTCAAGAGTATTCATAAATAATTTAGATACNAAAAATGAGTTTATAAGGAAAATATTTTCCAAAACATTTAAGCCAACCAAACATGGAAAAATTGGAAAATATTTTCCAGAAAATGTTTTCCTTCATACCAAACATACCCTATGTCCTTAACATTTACACTGCACATATGAAGTGAAGGACATGATGTCCTAAAGTTTAACAACGGCAGATGCAAATACAGGACATTTTGTCCTTAATATTTATACACATTTATAAAGTTAAGGATATCATGTCCTTAATATTTACACATGATCCATGTCTCGCACAAGGGTATTTTGTCCGGGCGGGTAAAAATTTATTAAGCACTGACTAAAGAGTAAATACATTTTAAACAGTGGCTAAAGAGTAAAGACATCTCTAATTAATAGCTAATTGTGCACTTCTCCCGATATTATCCAACCCATAGCCTGGAAAAAGCCTAGTCCATTACTCACCCTCAATGGAATGAGTAAGATTTAGATACGAAAGGATTTCTTGTTTCCGACCGAATTAAGAAGGAAAGGGGAGCCTTAGGTGTTACCTATAAGTTACGGGTTTGAGCCATGAAAACAGTTACTAATGCTTGTATTAGAATAGACTATCGACATTATATCCCTTAGGTGCGGCCCTTCCTTAACCGAATCAAGAAGGATTGTCCTGCCAAAAAAAAAAAGTTTATGGAATGTTTTTTTATCTGATAAATTATTTTTAATTCCCAGTATTTGTTGGGCGTAAAAGTAAGTGATCCATGTTAGTAGAACAAGGTGTAAAATAGGGGTGTACATAGGTCGGGTTGGTTCGGATTTTTCAATTATCAAACCAAACCAATGGTGTCGGATTTTTAAATTTATAAACCAAAACAAACCAACAAAGTTGGGTTTTTCAATCTCGGTTTTTCTCGGGCTTTTCGAATTTTTTTGGGTTTTCAGAATTTTTTCTGGTAAAGTTTCATAGCATAAAATATGCAACTTGTGCTCCAAATATTTCTTAAGTCCTATATACAATCATATAATGTGTTTTTCAAGAAACTAATACAATAATATGAGATAAGTCATAGCATTATACTACAATATTCAATAACAAAGATAAAATAATAAAATTATATAAAATAAATATTGCTAATTAATAAGCCATAATAAAAATTAACATAATCTAAAAATACTATATAGGTCATGCTAGAATAAGTATAGCTAATAAGCACTAATATAAATTATATAACTAAGCGCTAAAGAAAAAGATAAACTAAATTATGCATTTTCATTATAAACCAGTGTAAAACTAAAATAATTATCCAACACTTTCGTCATTCCTAATATTGAATTAAATTTCTTTTGTTAGCATCAGTATTGATTTGAACTTTGTTTGAGTTACTACATTTATGGACTATAAAATTATTTACCATTCAAGAATGTTAAGTATAAACTTGAAATAATACGTTAAAAGATAAAACTGTGAAAATGTTTAAGAAATGTTTATACAGTACATTACAATAAATATTTATATGTATAAAATATTTTTAAAAATTATATAAATGTACTATCGGGTTGGTTTGGTTTCGGTTTGACTTTTTTTAGTTAAAACCAAACCAAACCAATTATGGTCGGGTTTTATTTTTCAATACCAAATCAAATCAAATCAAACCACATAGGGTTTTTTTCCGATTTGACTCGGATTATCGATTTAGTGCGGTTTATCGGTTTTCTTTGTACACTTCTAGTATAAAATACGGTATGAGAATTGTATTTGGTGCTATTTTGGAATATGATAATGGAATACTAGTTTTGGATACAAAATGATTTTAACCAAAGAAGAAAAAGAAAAAAAGAGGACAGAATGTTTTACTCGCATAGCTCACCCTACCTCAGCTAGTCCCTTCATACTTTCTCTTAATGCCGTCCATTTTGCTAAAGTTTCTTCTCATTTGGTCATATCAATTATATTTCTTTAACTTTTTGATATTTTTCATCCTTCTTGATTGGTTTATTTTATTTTTTTTAATTTATTTCTAAAACGTTTGTCAATCGTACCATTTTTCTTTACATGTTTAATCATTCATTTGAACGAGAAAAATAAAATGCTTATTTTTTAAGCAAACTAGGGAATTGGTTCGCGCTTCGCGTGGTTATAAATAAAATATCAATAAATTTATATATTTAGTTAATATATAAAAGACAAAAAAACCGAATACATGAATAAACAATTAACTATATATACTGATAAAATGAAATTTAAAACATTTTTAGCGGAAATTAGAGCTTAGTAAACTATATTTTATTGTCAAAAATTTTGAAATGATAAAAAGAATTTGTAAGAAAAAAATAAATGTATTCTATTTGTGAGGGAAGGTTAAAAGAGGAAAAAATAAGTTTTTATATCTGACCCTCTTTCTTTTTTCCTTATAGCTTGTTTGGATGGTTGTTATGTATCGTTTCATAATGTATCGTATCATATTATATTGTATTGTACTGTATCGTTTGATAAATATAATAATTGGATAGATTGTGTCGTTTACCACCATTTCATGATATCACACACCAGCAATATGAAGGATAAACTTGCAATATTATAGAGAAAAATTATGATACAGAGTAAAATTACTATATAAAAAAGTAGGATAAATGATAAAATAAAATAATTTAATAATAATGAAGGGTGAGATTGAGATAAAAAGACAAGGTAACGACGCGACCACATTAAATCGGTCGTTACATAAAGTGACACATTTCGTCGTTATGTAACGACGGATTTAACGATGCGATATAATAAAATTTAAGTAACAATCAAAACAAACATTGTATTTAAAATAACACTACGATACAATACAACCATCCAAACAAGTTGTTAATCCCTCTTATTTTATCATCATCTAAAGTCTAAACAACCCTTGTTACTGACTTCCTCACTGTGTTATTCTTTTTTTCCTTTTCCTTTTCCTTTTCTCCTTCTTTCCTAATGCTATCTGCTAGTACCTTTATTACTTCCTCTCTTTTATTTTTATATATCTTCTTCCCTCTATCCTACGGTTACTCCAAAAAAAAATAAAAAAATATGCTCCCATCTTTATGGTGACAAATGTCTAATTTCTTTTAATTCCCTACAAAACATATAATACATTTTTCATATTTTTCATATATGTGGACATTTTAGTCACTCGTCTTATAAATAGAGAAAATAACTCTCCAAAAAAAAAAGAAGAAAGAAAAATTTATTTTTGCGCAATAGTTTATCATAACTTTGTTGGT